AGGTAAAATTAAATAAAATTTATTTATGAAATGGTACGAGTATTAAAAGTTATAAAAATTAAAATTTTGTTTTTATTTTTATTGGAAAATTTACACTTAAAGTAGATCGGCTTAAAGTAGTAGTAGATTGGACTGCAGTTTGACGTATAGCAATTACATCTATAATAATATTAAGAAAGTCCTGAGTAGCATAATGTCATGACGTATTTAAATCAAATGTTAGATATGGGTTCGAATTCCTTCGTTTTTGCACTCTCTCGTTGAGGTTTGCACCCTCTCGTTTTTACACTCTCTTATTGAAGTTTAAACTCTCTCGTTCTTGTTTCTTAAGGAACTGAAAATTTATTAATTTCACAGTTCGAAACGTGCGGTTAACATGCGGTTTTCAATAGTCATGTTTGAAATTTTACTTGTAAAATTTTAATATTTTTAATTTAAAGTATTTCCCAAATATTCAAAAAAATTTAAAATTATATTTATTGTTCATTATCATCTATTATCAAAAATAAATTTGAATATTAATTAAAATATTTTCATTCATATTATAAATTATATAATGGCTTAGATTTAGGTGATAATTAAATAAAATATTAAATTCGTTTAATTTTTGGAATTTTTAATTATTGATTTTTGTATTTAAACAATATTATAGGTGTTACCACATTTATTTTAATTTATTCCCGATTTAATTTATTTTTGCTTTTTCCTCTTTAATTATTCAAATATTTTGTAATTATTTATACAGCCATACATACATATTTTTAAAAATGTAATTTATTCTTAATTATTGATGTTTTTTTTTTAATATCCTACTGAGTTTAATTAAACATTAATTGAATATATTTTAAAACTATATGATTTATAATTAAATTCAGTAAAAATTATTTATTATCACCTATAAAATGAATATAATTATATAAAATACTTTATGATGTGTTTCAAAACAGTGATTGTACATCTAAAAAATTATTAAACAAGTAAAATCGTTTTCCGAATTGGTCCAATTACAGCAGCTGTCGTGCTTAGCAGAAAAGAAACAATATATGAAAGTGTGGTGGTGTCTGCTTTATTCGTGTTGAGAGCCTGACTAAATTAACGCAAAACTTTACTCTGAGCAAGATTGCCCAATAATCATTTCACAAACGTTACAAGTGAGTTACAGTGAAAACACCCCCCTTTAACTTTAAATCTGGACGACCAAGTGTGGCCAGCTCCCGTCGCTTCGGCCCCAAAGGAGATATTGTCCCAATGGTCGACGTCGGTCCATGCTTCTCAACCATTCAAGGCACGCAGGACCGTTGTCTTTGGCACTTCAAAGTATGCATCCGCCCTAATGAAAGAAAATGGCACTCCTCTCCGAGCGAGACCATCAGCTCTCTCATTTCCGAATATGCGCTAGTGTCCCGATGCCCACATTGAAGTTATCTTGTTATATATAGCAAGGACTATAAGAGTGTCAATGCATTCTCTTATCATTTTGAATGCCACTATACCAGACGAGAGGGACCCAATAATTTTCGATTTAGTCATGGGCTTTCATATATATTGAGAATATAGTACGATCATTATGCTTAAAGTTGTGTGCACATATGTATGAAATTTTATTTTTCTTGTTGTCTAATATCAAAATATGTTATTATTAAGGAAGTTTTTTAAGAATTTAAATAATACAAATAAATTTTTCCAATAGTTAAACGATTTTGTTTCGAATAAAATTTCGTTTTTCTCTCTCTTTCGCTCTTTCTCTAAAATATTACTTTTCTACAACTTTTATTTTATAATTTTATATTTTTTTTATCAACTTTTGGCATCTTCTATTTGCACACATAACTACATACTTATGTAAATTTTAAAGTTTAAATAATTTAAGAGAGAAATTTTTTAAAGAATAAGAGAGAATTTGTTTATATCATGTTTTATAAATAATTATTTTTATCTTATTTACGTTTTGTGTTTTTATAAAATATATTATTCTATATTATATTGTGAGCATATTCATAATATGTATATGTGACGCATTTATAATAATTATATTTGTATACAGTCGAACCCGTTTAATTGTAACATGCATATAAATAAAAGTCCTGCATATGTGTACCATACTTTTTCCACATGCAATTTCCCTAATTTTTCATGCTATTTGTAAGACTAGACTGTAATTCGCTTAGTAATAGAAAAATTTTGTAAGAACAAAAATTTTTGATAGTTCTGTCACTGCATGAAGCATTTACTTACAACTACAAGCACCAAATATTTTGAAAATTAAATGTTAAAAAAGACATTTGGTGAGCCATCCGATGTAAGAATATAGAAAAGGCAGATTAGTATTCAATATTATAACACATAAATGATGTATACACGCGTTTAATTGGGAAATTAGGGATGTGCTATAATATAATATAAACACGGATATACAGTGAAAAGAATTTTTCCCAGAAGGGTGTGCACATAAACGTATCCGACTGTATATAGAGAAAGTTTTTCCTTTTCTTTATTATTGTAAAAATAAACATATTTTTTCAGTTTAAAAGTTCATATAAGCATAAAGCCGTGACAATATACCTACATATGTATGCACGTACGTACTGTACCTTAAAAAATCATTATAAAATTTATCATAATATATAAAAAATTTATAATTTCTATATTTTAAGTTACTGTATAGATGATTTTAAAATATGCATAAAAAAAGTGAAACTATAATATTTTTTATTATAAAAGGAAAAGCAAATATTAAATATTTTGAGAAAAGAATAAAAAATTGTGTTGCTATAAAGAGAACGGAGAAAACAAAACTGAAAATTTAAAGTTGTACGAGTAGAATTGAAAAATGGATCCATAGTTTCTTAATTTATGGTTGCATATACATATATTCACAAGGACCTACATTATGTGTATAATAGTTGGTTGTCAATAACATAATAAAAAATGTACATATTTATATTGAAGTTATAAAATAAATATTGTAGACTGTATTATATATATAGTATAACAGTATAACAGATAGTATAACAGATTGTCAGTATATTGGTCTATTTCTTTTTAATGTGTGCGTTATTATCACCAAAGTTTGACATGCCGAGACTTTGAAAGAAATTTGAAATCGTAGCCCATTACAACTGAACCCGTTCTATAGCGATTAATCTAAAATTTTTGAGATTATCTTTAGAAAAATACTTAATTCTTGAAATAAACATTTTGGAGTTATATTTGAACCAAAAAAAGAATTTAGTGAAATTTACAATAATTATTTATTTTGTATTCAGAACTGCGATTTTGTGATAAACATATCAGATTCTTTTAAAATCAAGGCCCTGGGATTTCTTTAAAATTTGAATGGTGTGTTCTTGCAGTATTCATTTTCTCAGTATTTTCTCAGTATATTGAAAGGGTTATTCAGTTTAAAAAAAATTCAGTTTATGAAAGCAATAAGCTTGTCGCTGTAAATCATTTATGAGTCATAAATTATTCTACGAGTATTGCATTTTTATTTTGAAAGTCTATTATTAAATTTTATTTTTGTCTATCAACATAAATTTTTTTTCTTTTATGTATTTTATGTATTTACATATGTATATGTATACATATGTAAATAAGTATGGATATTTTACATATTTTCAAATATATTTTTTAGCAAATATTTTTCACTTGAATTTCACTTGAATAGTTTCATATATAATTAATACAATATTGTGATAAATAGAATAAAAAATTTGAATTTTCGAAAATAAAATATTTTAACACCTGTAGAATTGTAAAGTATGATTATTTTATAATGAGAAAAATATGTAACATTAAAATTCTGTGATTTTATTTTTATAATTTGGTTCTAAACGTAGAAAAATTTTTTATTAAAATTTATTAGAAAAATTTAGATATAAAAATGTAGTAAAATATGTGGAAAAGCGTGTTGCTTACATTAGTGTTCCACTGTATTAAAATTAATTGGAATTACGATCGTTTCGTTTCGAACATCTTAACGTAAAAATCATTAAAATTTCGAACATTGTTGTTTTCCGTATTTATGTAGGGCATTCTTGTGCTGGGTTCCGAACCGCAGTAATGTTGAAGGAATTGAGTTGTTGAACGAATTGGCAGAATGGGGGGGAACAGCCGACATTGTTGCAATAAATTGGTCGGTGCTTCCGCCTTTGGGGAATTGAAAAACATTATAGATGAAGAAACAAGAAGAAGGACGAATTTCCTTTGGGATGGCAGGCGAACTCGTGAAACGTAAGGGGCCATATGGCCGAAGAAGAGCGGTGCAAAAATGAGAGATCTGCGGACATTGGGCAGCAGTTCTCTGTATTGCGGTTGGTATTTTGACGGGACACAGTTTATTAGGAAAGATGGCAAAACGACTGGGCATTACTTCGTCGAATGTTTACCAAGAATGTCTAAACATCTGAGGAGTAGAGATCGTGCAACATTCGCTCTGCGAGTGTTCCGCTCTGATGCGAAGGCGAAGACGTATTTTGGGAGGATATCGGTTTGATGGATTGTAGGAGTATCCGGAGGCGGACAAGGGTGATCTCCTGAACTTTGTCAAGATACTTGAATGGATTAAGCGTGGAGAGGTGTGTCATGTACAGATGTAAATTGGCCTTCTACTGGCCTAGTGCTGGATGGCAGCGTTGAGGGTGTCACCTCATCTCTCTAACTAACTAACTATCCAACTGAAAACTTTTACTCTAAAATTTTCTCTTAACATTTATTATCATATTGAAATATTTAAATTAAGTGATATTCCCTTTTCAATATTTTAAATCACATTTTTTTCACAAAAGCAGGAATGTCAAACAGCACAATTAAATTATAGCATTTAATATATTTTATTATATTTTTATAATGCTAAAAAGCCATATTAAAAAAAATTATTTAAAAAATATAATCGTATATCAATTTTAAATGTCTATATAGAATAAAAACTCAACATTTTGATTTTTATTCTGGTATTTAAAAAAAAAAAATAAAACAAAATTGAATTTATTTAACTTTACCTACTGATTTTTTCTCTTCTGCATCTACAAAAAAAAAAGTATATAAAATTAAATTTTATTAAAAATTTATAATTTTTTTTTTCGAAAAAAAAAACATCGTGCTACTCAATACTTTTGATATAAATTCAACAGGAAAAATTTATAGCTTTCAAATACCCAAAAATCAACCAGAAATAAACATTGACTCTACTACTTTCACAATTCGGTTTTTTTAATAAGCTGAAAATTGGTTTTTCTTTTGTGGTGTACCACACCGCTTTTTATATAAAAACAAAAGCTCTTAAAACTAGAAACAAAAAAACTTGTGCTAAAATATTTAAAATGACGTTCACAAAATGCAAAATTGTACTAACACAAATACAAATAAAACAGTATAAACTATAAAGCGTTAAAATAGAGTTGTATAAATCTTGAAATTTATAATATAGATTTAAAGGTTGTAAAGTGTAGCAATTTCGGCTTTTCATTAAGTTAAAATATTTGATAAGATTCTAATGTATTCAAAACTTCCAAATATCATAAAAACATTCATAAGCGGGTCAACTGCGACTGTTAACATTATCTCAGTATCGCGGTTGATATTTTGATAGGACATTGCCATTGTCGTGGTTGTCAGGATTTTGGAATGGCAGGGTATGTGCGAGATGTGCTTGAATCCGATTTAGCAATTTTGAGACATTCTCAGTCTGTGTCTCTTTTGCCTGTGTGATATATTGTTCAATTTCACTACAAGGAAGTCAAATGATTTCTGTGATAAAAAAAGTGTTGTAAAGTGCTGCCGTCGTTTGGCTTCTTATTAGCCTAGTGGTGGATGCCGACTATTCTTACTTAACTAATTGATTATTTTATTTTAGTGTTATTATTGTTAGAAATTTCTAATATTTTAAAAATATTTGTGCATAATAATTCAAATTATATCAAGAGAGGACAAAAATTTAAAGTTGGTTTAGTAATTATTTTGATATTCTAGTTCTAGTACAAAAAATATTTTTGGATAAATTTACTTAATTTTTGTTTTAATTTCGCTAATGGTTTAAATTTCAATTAGAAACCATAAAAAAAGGGGCTCAACCATGCAGCAGACTTTAATATTATACTGATGAATTTTGATATTTTTCAGTTATAAGTTTTCAGTTTCTTTCATTATTTTTATGAATTTTCATTATTTTAATGAGTTCAATGGGAAATTTTGGGTGCAAATAAAAAAAACACCATTACCTTTTGGTTTTTTTCCTAATAATTCTTCAACTTCTTCAACTATATTATAAAAAGAATAAAAATTTAAATCAATATAGTATTTTGAAATTTAAAATTTAAGACTTTTATTTTAAGGGTTTTTCGGCAGATTAATTGGTTTTATTCTTGCGAGTTGCGGTTCATTTAAAACTGATGAGTGAATTTCTTCAAATGTGCTAATGTTAATGTGTAATTTTTCTATACGAATTATATAGCATTCGATTATATTTGATATTTTTGATTGAATTACGTTATGTCTTTATAAGCTTTCTGAAATGCAAAGTTCTAACCAATTCTTTATCGAATTTATGAGTAACAAATCAATATGCTTCTGAAAATTGATTATAAATTTGTTTTTTAAATGACTGCAAAATGGGGGAACTAGCAATGTTAAAATGTTTTCTTAGTTATTAAAAAATCGGTAGAATTCTAATTTTGAGATGATGAAATTTAAAATTAAAATTTTTTTACAAGTCTTTAGCCAATTTCATGCTCACTTTTGCAATAACACTTTGGATCGAAATGAGAAAATGTAATTCATGCAATCAATATTTTATTAATTTGGTTTGGCTGAGTTCTATCTAAAATTTTTAATTCGAAATTAATGAAATTTTCGAATATTTTGAAGAAATGAAATGGTTAACTAATAAGTATGGATTTGGTAGTTTAATTTTCATTTATGTAGAATAAATGAAAAATATTTTACCTAGCGTTTTTTTTACCGGCGCTTTTTGTACTGGTTTCGCGTATTTATCATCATCATCATCTTCGTATTCATCATCATCATCATCATCTGTTTCTATAAATATTAATTAAAATTTATTAATTATATTTTGAAATATAATATTTTCGTGCAAAATTTTTGGAAGCATTTTTTTTCAGGGTTTTATGGAGGGAATAAGCTTCATATTTTGATCTTTCATGATGTACTTTTTTTGTTTGGTGTGTAATTGGTTCATGCAATTTTATTTTTCGAAAATTACTTATAGCAATTTAGAGATTTAATAATATTTTTATTTCTTGTTTTTTTTTTTTTGGGAATCATTCACAAGCTTTGGATTTGTGTGCCAAGATTTCCAACCAACAATCTGAAATTTACTCTAAAATTTAAAAAGTCATTAAGATTAATTTATGGTATTTATGAATTAAGTGTTTAACATGATTTACGAAGTTGTGATGTAATTAAATTAGTTGTCAAAATTTTGACAGATATTTTGACAGATTCTTGGAAAATAGAATGTAAAATTGAGTTATTTTGTAAATGGAAAATGCTTGTCAGTTTAATAAGGTGAGAATTATGAACAATTTTGATTTATTGTTTGAATAATGTAAAATTTAATTATAATAATTTTAACTTAGCAACAGAAGAAGTTTATTAAAATTTAATTTAATAAGTTTACAAGAGTGATAAGTGCTGAATTGTGTAATGCAATTCCAGTGTAAGTAAGAATTTTTGTTTAAATAATATTTAGACACTTCTCGTCTTTTTCAAGTTACCAAACAGAACAAGAGCGATTTTGCGTGGCGAAAGGTCGAAATTCATATACAATGCTCTTAGATAAATTGGACTGCACAGGAAGCAAAATTACTGACTCGAATTTACGCGGTGGCGGTAAATTAGACTGAATTCCTAATTTGCCGTTGGAGTTTTTTTCTGAAATAATCCATGTCCGAGCGTGTGTAACATCACATAGAGAAAATATTGAACAGTTAATTTTGCTGTTCTACTGTTTTTCTGGTTCAACAAGGAAAATCATCCGCTATTATCTTTCATCTTTTTTACGATTTTAGTGTCCCCCCAGATTTTAAAACTCCCTTCTAACTACTTAAGGTACCCCGGTATCAATAAAAAGTAATAAATTTGACAAACTTTGAATTTTTAAAACAATTGTGTACGACGGGAGTGTTGATTAATATTTGTTTTTTTTTTTTTTTTGGTTTTGTACATGAATAACGGGAATATTAAGAAATTACGTGAAGTGTGTTGTTTCAATTCTGAGTTTTGATAAACACTTTCATTACCTTTCACTTTTGATTTTTTGATTGTCGGTGATTTATTTTCTCCTTTTATTGAAGATTGAGAGGAATTTTTGCCTGGTTCTGGAAAATTGATAATTTTATATTCTTAATTTTTACTTATTTAAAATGTGACTGCCGTTATACTACAAGTTATGGTGATAAAAGAGAAAACAAGATGAGACAAAATATTATTTTGCAATTTTGAGATTAAAATTTTTTTAAACAACGAATTCGAAAGGTACATATGTATGTATATGTTATTAAGGTGCCATTCTAAAATAAAGAAAATAAAAGATAAAGCTACATATGTACAAATTATTCAAAATAATAAATTTAAAAATTGTAAAATACTTCTTTCATGTTTTAAATCATTGTTTTATGTCATTGAAAATATCCGTAACATCAAAATGCAGTGAATAAAGTGATAAACAGATGGGTCAAAGACCAGTATTGGGACGGGTGCGGGGGTATTTGGGCCAAGAACCATATTCTTCGAACCGATGGGAACTTTTCCGAGTGTGTTTCGGTCTGAGTTGCAAACATTGAAATGTGTGTGTGGTTCGGCCTGGAAAGGGGATATCGTAGCGCTGAAATCGTTTTCAGTATCGTCCGCGGCAGTATGGGGCTGTCTTGAGAAGCTTAATGAGTAAGGCAGATGCAACGGGGTCACACTGTGTTGGGTGCCGGGCCATGTGGGCGTGGAAGGAAATTAGGCCGCTGATGCGCTTGCAAGGAAGGGGGCAAACACACCTCTCGGTTGGGGGCGCACAATAGATCTTTAAACGTTGTCTCGGTGCACTGTTGCCCCCGTTATACAAGTCTACAAACAGTGTTGCTAGTGAATAACACTGTTTGTTTTCAAAGCAACAAAACTACTGTTTGCTTTCTTACTACATGTTAGAAATTTGGATCTTCCTACATTGTACAAGTTTTCTATTCTACAATGAGATATAATGTAGTAGATGTAGTACATTAATACTGCATTTTAGATGTCAGGGTATTAGTTAAATGGTATGGTTGAAGCTCTTATATGCAATTTAAAAATCTATTTTTATACATGAAATTTAAATTGCATATTTTAGTTGAAATATTGTCAATCACATTTGAGTTCTTCAATTATTATTCAAAAAAAATTTTATAGGTATGCATCCGATGTTATTAATCCTATTACATAATAAAATCAAGCGTATATAAGAATTTTGAGTGTCAATTTCTAAAATTTACAAAAAACAAATTAGAATTTTATTTGGAAAAAAAATTTGTATGTAGGCATTTACACGAGAACGAAATATTCAATCCAAATATTAAAGAAATTTTAATTTAAATTTGAATTTTAAAATTACAAAAAAAAAACTAAAATCTTTAAAAAATAGAAAATTAAAATTTTACCAAATAATTTTTTACTTGTAGATTTTCTAACACTTGATTTTTCATCTAAAGAAAAAAGGAAACAAGAACAGTAAATTTAAATTTTAAAATAATTACTATAAAAAAACTTTATCTTTGAAGCTATGTACAAAGCAGTAGCACCACTACACATACAAAGACTCGAAATATTTTATAAGGTTATGTAAGAAAAATCACTGTGTTTGACAAGGTTAAATATCAAAAAAAAATTTTTTTTTTTGAAAATAATGAAATAATTAAAATTTTGATTAAAGAAGATTACAATTTAAAGTTATTTTAAGTAAAATTTTAAAATGTTTGATGTTGTTTAATTTTTTATAAGGTTTACGAGGAAAAATTTAATTAGAAATGTTATTTAAGTTTACATTTTACTCAGTTAATTAAATTTATTTTTAAATTATATTAAAATATAATTGTAATTTTAATAGTAAAAATGTCTGAAATATAACTACAGTAATGAAAAGAACATCAGTTGACATAGATATCATTTGCCTTTATTATTTAGGTTCGATTATTCTGCTAAACATAGGAAATAACTCCGATATAATTCCAGAAATTAATATTTACAATGGAAAACTTAAACAACTACATAACATATTATGAATTTTATCGAATTTGGGCATAATATGACCTTCATATTTACATAGCACAGAAACAAGTTTAACTTAGAGGGCTATAAGATATACAAAGCAAGCATTGCATTATCTTTTCCTTTAAACTAATTTCGGAATGATTGTATTATGATAGTATTTACAATAAATCATGGAACTGAACCAGAAATGACAGATTCAAATGATTTTTAAAAAAGAAAATTATTATTTACAATTCAGCCAATATTAGGAAAAATTTCAATAAAATTTTCATATTTCCTATTATTCCTCATATCTGAGCATTTCAACAAAAGCAAAATTTCAAAAGCAAAATCTACAAAATCTTGAGATCGCAATTTGCCATTTTCTCATTTTACATTACCTAATCCTTTTTTACTTCTTGATTTTTTAACTTTTTCATCTATAAAAAAAAGAAATAAAATTATAGAAAATTATTTTAATATTTTCGAAGAAAACAAAATTAAAAGAAAAAAACAATAAAAGATCAGAATCAAAATCCACCACCACTCTGGAAATTATAAGAGATCAAGAATCACGAATCATCATAGTTTGTATGTATGTACATTATTTACACAATATATTCAAGTTTATGAAAGTGAATGAATAATTTACAAGTTTTTATGAAATTTTTGTATAAGTGAAAATTTTTTAGCCACATTTTTGTTGATGATGCCGATCTGATTTGGTTGTTTTTTTGGTGTAAAACTTTTGCTGTGTGAAAATTGTGTAATTATTTTGTATATAATAAAGTAAATTATATTATTTTTAGTTAATGTATGTATTTAATATGTTATTATACTTGTGGTTATCATGCGGGTAGAATATAAGTTACGAAATACACAGAGTGGAATCTCAGTTGTTTTGCGCCTTGTGATTGGTTTACAATATTTGTACCTAAAATCTATTGTTATTTAACAATAGAAGTTCTTGGAAAATAGTTTTTGTGAAATAGTGTCGTGTATTTTTTCGTGCGTTTTTGAAGCTGCAAACTTATATGAATACAAGCTCCTCGTATTAAAACTGTGTTCAATTTTAATGAACAGCAATGTTTAAGATTGCAGTATTGAAATGTGATTAATTTGATTTTATTGCAAAAGTTTTCATCTTAAAAGCATTTCAAAAATATTCTAATTTTATAATGTAAAATATTAAATATATACAAAGTGCCATATATTGAAAATTTTAACATTAATCACCTTTGAGGTTTGCAACTTTCTTATTAAATGATGCATTTTCTTCCGGCTTTTCTTTAATTGGAGTCATTTTTGTATTTGCCTCTATAGATTAGATGAGAAAACAATAATAACAATATAACAATAATATTGTAAAATATTTTGTAATATTAAGCTAATTTAAGGGTATATATCAGGGATAAATGTCATTAAAAGTGGGAAAATTTACATATATTCTGCGAAGATGAAGATTTTTACAAGATATAAAATTTACAAATTAATGATATAGGAAAATTTCATTACAAAAATAAAACAAATTTTCATTTATTCACCTTTAATTTTTTGTCTGTTCAATAATATTTGTTGAACTTCTGCTTCTGTAGCATTTAACAAAAAATAAAAAAATTGTATTAATTTTATAAGAACATATTCAATTTAATACCAAATTCGAAATAAAATATCAACATTTTTTTATGGTGTATTATTTGTAATTTGTATATTAAAGCTGTAATGGGTGGGCCGTTTGAGATTTCTTTTTTTAAAAGAAGTTGTAAATATCGACAGAGAACTGAAAGTAAACGGAACAAGTCAACATTCCGGAATTTTTAAAATATGAGCCCTTATGTCAGAGTATTCCAAGACACTTCTCAACAATGACTAGTACGATACAGCACTGTCACGATACAATCACAGTAACAGTGAGAATTACTATAATCGAAATGCGAATCCAAATTCACAATCTGTAGTTTTATGTAGACAGATATTTAACAATTGATTTAGACATCCAACTGTATACCAGGTCACTTCAGCAAATAATAGACAAAAAATATTTTTCAATCAATTTTAGAATGACTAATATTTAGTCGTATAAGTGTTGTCGTTCTATATTTTATGATTAATTCAAAAAGAAATCGATAAATAAGTCCACCCTCATTTTTTATAATATTTATTAGATGTATGTATCCATAAGTATTATGTATGTGAGATATTTAAAAAATTTGTAAGAATACAAAAAATGTATTTCATGAAATTGTACAAATATTTCAAATTTTATGCAAGTGTCAAATTTTTAACATAATTATATGCTAATATTTCACAGATTAAAATATTTTTGTAATTTAGATAAGTGTAAGAAATAAGTAGATTATTTTATTGTATATTTAATTCTATGCGTATATTTGTGTATACTATGTACATTCACTATATATAGATCTATATTACCTATGGATTTTTTGATTTCTTCTTTATTCAAGAAATCTTTTCTGACATTATTATTTGAAGAATTAATATCCTTTTTTATTTCTATAGAAAAGAAATAAATATAAAATATATATTTATTATTTTTTAATAGTTAAAATAAAAGAATATGTCTACGATAAAAAAATTATATTTATGTGGAATATAATATATACAGGGGTTTGTTTGATAATGTTTGATTTAACAAATCAAACACTGACTATAATCTGATTCTTGTATGATAATAATAAGCTAATTATTTATTATAAAATTATTAAAATTACAGGTGTTTTTTTTACACTTAAATGTTTTCTTATATACTAAAACCATACATTATTTTACAGGAGATGTTGAGGTGTTCTTGCACGGTGTTGTAATGCAATGTCAAATAGTAATTATATAGACAATAATGAATCTTGACTGCTATTCAACTATATTCAAATATATTTTGTTAATTTTTATTGATTAAAATTTGCCAGATATTCATAAACATAAGAATTGATAATCATACATGTATTTTGGTATGGTCGAATAAGTATGATTTGTGTCATTATATAAAAATATGATTGAATATTATACAAAGTTTGTGATGCATAAAGAAGGAAGGAAAAAATTTGTTTCATAAGTTTCATTACGTTTACATTCTTGAAACTTTTGGTTGGTTATACAAAGGCCTCTGGCGGTCATGTAATTTTTGGCTTTGCATTATACAGTTTGATTACATTGCGAATTAATTGTACAGACACATAAGCAACTAAACTATGTATTTGAAATTACTAAATTGCAATCAGTCTGTAAAAAATTGTAAAATGTTTGATTGTTTAATTGCAGGCGATCATAAAGTTTTATGATATGTGAGTTCTTGAGTTTAAACCAATGCAATACAAATAAGCAATCAAACAGTTGCAAAATTAATAATTATGCATGTTTGCCAGGGTACATTACAATTTTTTTTTGGCAAATATTTATTTGTGATTGTGTTTCTCTCTAAAAAAAATTTGTAAATAATTTTCAAAATAATTTCAAACTTATCAATTTATTACGTAAGGTATGTATTTAGTACGTAAGGTATACATAGCCATGTTTACATCTTCATTCTGTATCATACATGTATCATTGCTCTATTATGATGTGAAAATTTAAATAAAATATTTAAAAAAAAAATATATATATACATATAACTTATACATAATATGTATGTTTGTATACATATGTGATGTAGTGAATTGAAAATATCCAATTAATTTTTAAAATTAAATAATTGGCTTACATCTCAACAGAATGTTCAATTAATTACCTATTGGCATTTTTTTTGTTGATTCTATGTTTTCGAACTTCATTGAAGAATTTATTGTTTGAGGTTTTAATTCTACAAAAATTAAATTATATTAATTTTAAATATAATAAAAAATTGTTTTTTAAATTAATAAAAGAACAAATTTATTAAAGTTGTAACCCGTAGGGAATATCAAAGAATTATAATATGTTTATGTATGTACAAAATTGTGTATGGTACAATTATTATTTAAAATTTACTTAAATATTTGTACATTTTTATTTTTGTATATTTTATATACATACGTAATATATTACAAAAGCTGTGGTTTATATATTATGTACATGTATGTATATAGGTATATGAATATTTTTTTTAAATAAAATTTAATTTGTTTTTGATTTGTAATTTAAATATTTTTTATATTTAAGACCTTGTCGAAAATATTGTAGAATTAGTAAACTCTACAAATCAGTTTGTAGAATACAGAATGTTTTTGATATTTTAATAAAAATTGCAATAGTATAAGCTATGTTTGATCCGCATTCTTTTATAATGTTCGGAGTACATTGTACTGAAAAGTATTCAAAGTTTTTTTAAATATATTCGAGGCAAGAGAGCTTGGTTTTGCCACTTACTATAACATAAATTTTCTTAAAGAATGGAAAGGATCTTCAAAAGTAAATGTTTTAGAATTTTTAAAAGATTATGCCTATTTCTTTAATTAGTGAAGTCAAATTTCTTAAACTAGTTGAATAAGCAACAAATTAATAAAACAATTTCAACACTACTACTATTGTTGAATCAACAATATTACTGTAATTTTAACAATGTTGTTTTTACTTTAAATACCTTTTTCAGCTACCATTCTCTTTTTTACTGCTTTATCCTTCATTTTGAGTTCATACAAATTTTTATTTTTAGTAGTAGAAAATTTTTTAAAATATATCAAGATGACAAGTGATTTTTTAAATATTTCTTTTCTAAGACAATTAATTTTGGCAAATGCACTTAGAATCTTTATGTAGTTGTATATGAATATAATATTGTTATTATTATTTGATTTTTAATTTTAAAATGAATTTTTAATATCATAATAATTATGTTATCTATATATTATGAAACTTTATAAATTATGTAATTTATAATCGATTTTTGAGGAATAAATATTAAATTTAATTTTTCAATATAAAATTTCTAATATGTATAGTGTGTGTTATTTTGTACATCGCGACTCGCTAGTAAAATTCATACTAAAATAAAATAAATAATTGAATTGATTTACTTAAAATATTATAACTAAATATTACGTGCACATACTTTTATATATACTTATATTTGCTTATATTTAGTTATGTATAGATTTGCCTACTTTTGTACTGTTTAATTTGCGCATTATTGCGTTTCTTTCTCTCATAGTCGCTCATATTGCTTTTAATATACTATTGAATAATAATTAAATAGTAGCATCCTACATCAGAACTTTTTCTTTATATATGTATATTTATAATTATTATATTGTTAATAATACAATCAATGTTTTGCTTTCAACTTGTTAAGGCAGCAGTAGCAGTAACAACAGCAGCAGCTGTTGTGACAGTCCATCATAATATTTAAATTTAAATTTTTCTTTTTCCATTATTTTTTTTTTATTTCTTTTTTTTTTTCTATATGGAGTGAAGAGAAATTTTTTATTTTGTTATTTCGCATTTTTCA